AGCCTTTAGTTAGAGTGTTTTTGTTTCCTTTAATTTTTTTCCATCCCTAATATTAAGAGTGTCTTTGGGACACTCAGGTGTCCCAAAGTGACTTAATTCATACAAAATTGATTCATACACATACATCCATCAAATGTCATTTAATCATTTTATCATTAGAGTCCAATTTTAAAATTGGGTTGGTCTCAGAAAGTATGAATACAGGTTTCTTCCTAGGCAGATTAACAGATACCCCCATCAAAAGCTACCAAATAAACTGCTCTCTTTCTTTTTTCTTTTTTTTTTAAATTTTTATTATTAGCTGTTCAAAACATTACATAGTTCTTGACATATCATATTTCATACATTTGATTTAAGTGGGTTATGAACTCCCCATTTTTACCCTGTATACAGGTTGCAGAATCACATCGGTTACACATCCACTTTTTTACATACTGCCATACTAGTGTCTGTTGTGTTCTATCTCTTTCTGTGAGAAATTTAGATCCAGACAAGTGACTTAATAGACAGTGAATCAGAGGTTTCTCCATCCTGAATTTTCTTTGTTTAATGTTTTTTTAAATATATATGAAGTTTGTGTTGGTTAAGCAAGAACAGAAATAAATTTAAAATAATACTTTAAAAAGATTTTCCTGTTGGTTAAGCAGGGTTACTGAAGTTTTTGTTTCATTTTAAAATTATATTTATCATGTTATCTCAAATACTTTACTCAAATTCTACTGTTCTCCCATGAAAAAGGAACAGAATTTAACTGAGTCATTTTAGTGACAATAAAAGGTATTCTGTATCAGAAATGTTTTGAGAATTTTGTCTTACTTCTGAATTTGTTTTTGTTTTCCCATGTAAAATCTCCTATGTAAATTAATGAAAGTTTTGAAAAATATGTATTACTAGGAATGGAACCACTATATGACCCAGCTATACTACTCCTCAGTATTTATCCTAATGAGTTAAGTAAGCATACTATTAAAAAAATAAATACATGTCTTAAAGAAAGCTATATATGATGGAATTAAATCAATATGTACATTCCATGATGAAAAATGTGC